AAGAGCAAAGGCCCAAAATCATGCGCAAAACACATGAGTTCAAACATATATTGTTTTTGGTTTTGGTGGCTTGCTCCTGACCCAGAAGGCAAAGGAGCAGGCCACCATATGAGTGTTGAGCACTGCGCCCCCCCCCCTTTTTGTCCTATAGGAGCCCACCATGGCAACTGGTTGACCTTCACCAGGGACGCCACCGCGGACAAGTAGTCATCAGCCGTCAGCGCAGCCTGCGCACAGTCGGAGAGGAAGACCATCTGGGCATTCATCGCGTCATTGTTCTTCGGATCAATGGGGAGGAGGCGCTGGATGAGAGCCATGGTGCCGCGCTGCGCAGCCTCAACTGCAGTCGCCACCATACGGAGGTTTTCCTCCGTCTCAACATGCTCTTTCTCGACCAGATGGAGGTCATTCGGGCCCATCGGCTCCTTCGGCACAATGGTCACTTCCACCTCCTCGAGACCCGTGACTGTCGGGGAACAGGCCACATTGTCCGGCTGGTCCGGCTGGGACTCTGGCCAGGGATCCGTCAGATCCGTCTGTGTCGCCACAGTGCGGGGAGTCTGCGTCGACACCTCCTTCTCCCAGGTCTCCTTATCTTTGCGCTGCAGCGCATCAGCCGCCTGCCGAGCCCGCTTCTGCGACAGCTTGTCGAAGCGCTTCTTGTTGTACCAGGACTCACGCTTGGCCTGGTTGCCCGAACGCTTCTTGCCCGCCTTCTCCTTGGTCCAGCCCCAGGTCTTTTGAGTCTCTCCCAACTGCTCTTTCACATTCTTCAGCCAGTCCTTCATGTAGTACTCCCAGTCTTCTTTGGTCCAGGAAGGTGAAGAGCGCGCATTGCCTCGCTTGCACTCCCAGTTGTCCTGCAAAACAGGGGCCAAAAAACCTGCCATTTGCAAAACATTGAGGGGATTTGTTGCAACAACAGCGCCAACTATACACAAAGGGCAAAGGGCGCGCACCCTGACGCAAAGCGCAAAGGGCGCGCACCCTGACCCAAGTGATTTTTAACCCCACACCAGTCCTCCTTGTCATCAGTGGCCTTCCACATATAGAAAAGCCGGCACATCGGGTTCGCGCACCGCTGTTTGCGGAGGTACGCCCATTGCCCGCACGCGTGGCACCGACGCAGGAACACGCTCACGCTGCCGCCGCCGCTGCCAGATGCCGAAGAGCTCGGATTGGCGCTACCAGCGTCGCCAGCATCCCTTTGGCGGTCCTGACAGGGGGTGTGGAGAGTTCGGGAACTGTGCGTGTTTGCTCTATGTATATTTTTTGGGTTATATATATATATGTAATATATAACATATATATTTCATGCAGTATCTTCTGACTCTAGACCTTACCCACTATTCTATACTTTTTTGGTTTCTGGTTTGGCATTCCACTCCTGCCCGGCACTCTGGGAGTGAGCGCGCTTGCCCATAGCTGCAAGAACTGTCAAGCGGTCGAGAGTCCAGGGGGAGCTGTCCAAAGTCCGCTGCTTCCTTTGAACCCGGCATGCATGCATCGCACACTTTGAGCTGCTGCAAGTCGACTCACTCACTTCAGACCTTGCGCCTCTCTATACATCTAGGCCTCCTGACCTCCCTACGAAGCTAAGGATGCCGTGACTGCCCTGGTGCACTGCTGAACCGTGTGCACGCGCGCGTATGTTGTGCTGTGCGCGGGGAAGCGACATGAACAGGACGAGATACAGTCGACAATCCGGG